GGGCAGCTCAGTGGCCTGAGGGAACTGAACACGCCAAGCGTCGTCGAGACAAGAGAAGCAGCGCTGTGTGGCGTGCGGTCGTCCACATTGCTGACCAGTGCGGTCACCAGTGCGAATGACGTACGTGCAGCTAAGACCACCCCCACCCCCGTGCTGAGAGTACCACTCACGGACCTCCTAGGGGCCAGGGAGTGTGCTGCTGGCCCTGGCCACCGCCAGTGCCTCTACGGCCACCACCACCGCTGCCACCTCCTCGACCACCCCAACCCCTGCCGCCGCCTCGTCCACCGCCACCCCAACCGCCGCCTCCACTCCTGCCACCTCCCCCGCCGCTGCCGCCACCACCCCCACCGCTACCACTCGCCCCTCCAGCCGAGCCACCACCCCTACTGCCTCCACCGCCCCCACTGCCTCCACCGCCCCCACCGCCGCCTCCCCCGCCGTCACCGCCACCACCCTTGCCCCCTTTGCCCTTGCCGCTGCGGCGTCCGCTCGAGGCAGACGCAGCGCCAACCTTCTCAGTACCAAGAAGGTCGACAGCAGCAGCAGAGGCGACAGAGGGAAGAAGGGGGGAAGGAGAACACCCCTCAAAGAACGGGGTACGGGGGTCGCCACGAGAGGCACCTACAGCGACTATGCTAGTCTCAGCTGCAAGTAGCTCCTTCTCGAGGAGGGCAATGGTGAGCTCAGTGGGGCAACGAGCTAGGAAGTGGTCCCTGACAGCACGCAGTGTGTCAGGGAGGCGGGTGACTAGGTGGTAGAGAGTGAGCCAGAGTGGAGGGGGGTGCGAGCAACTACAGCTGTGTACAGTGCCTGTGCAGTCTTGTGCTGACCAAAGTGCTCGCGTTCGTCTATCGGTAGGGAGTTGCGAATGGCGAAGCGAGCGTGGGCATCACGAGTCTGCCACTATGAGCGAGCAGTGCTGTCAACAGTAGCAGCAGGGGCAGTGACATGGCCTAGGGCGTGATCGTACAGTGAGATGTCATCCTTGGCTGTGAGCTGTAGGTAGAGGTGCAGGTCATCGAGCCAGGTGTCAAACTTCACAGGGCGGCCCTCAGCATCGAACACGAGAACCTGTGGGCCAGCCATAGGAACAGTAGAAATAGCAGCAGTTGCAGTAGGAGAAGCAGGTAGGACGAACCAGGTAGGGCGGGGCGGCGCGGCTCGGTTCAGGTCGGGTCGTGGCTCGGCTGGGTGGCGCGGCTCGGTTCAGGGCGCGCGGCTCGGCTCGGGGCGCGCGGCTCGGCTCGGGGCGCGCGGCTCGGGTCGCGCGGCTCGGGTCACGGCGGGGACGGGCCGCCCGCTCTCCCTCGTGTGCTGCGGCGGGAACGGGCCGCCCGGGGCCTATAGGTGGTGGGCACGGGTCGGCGAGGTCGGCACGGGGCCGGTTGGGGCCCTAGAGGGGCGAGCGCGGGGCCGATCGGGGCGTGAGCGGGGCTAGCGCGGGGCCAAACGGGGCCTTGACGGGGCTAGCAAGGGGCCGACGGGGCCTGAACGGGGCTAGCGCGGGGCCGACGGGGCCTGAAACGGGGCCGACGGGGCCTGAAACGGGGCTAGCGCGGGCCCGATCGGGGCCTGAATGGGGCTAGCGCGGGGCCGACGGGGCCTGAGAGGGGCTAGCGCGGGGCCGACGGGGCCTGAAACGGGGCTAGCGCGGGCCGACGGGGCCTGAGAGGGGCTAGCGCGGGGCCGACGGGGCCTGAAACGGGGCCAACGAGGCCTGAAACGGGGCTAGCGCGGGCCGACGGGGCCTGAGAGGGGCTAGCGCGGGGCCGACGGGGCCTGAAACGGGGCCGACGGGGCCTGAAACGGGGCCGACGGGGCCTGAAACGGGGCTAGCGCGGGCCGACGGGGCCTGAGAGGGGCTAGCGCGGGGCCGACGGGGCCTGAAACGGGGCCGACGGGGCCTGAAACGGGGCTAGCGCGGGCCGACGGGGCCTGAAACGGGGCCGACGGGGCCTGAACGGGGCTAGTGCGGGGCCTGAACGGGGCCTTAAAGGGGCCGACGGGGCCTGAACGGGGCCGCTAGGGAGAGCGGGCGTGGGGCCGACGGGGCCTGAACGGGGCTAGCGCGGGGCCGTCAAGAGGGGCCTCTAGGGGCGTGACACGCCGAGGCGCCCTAGGGCACAGGTAGGTAGGTAGGTAGGTAGTTACGTAGTGGTGGGCCCTTAGAAAAATTCGGTCCTAGGAAGGACCTGCTCTATACCATGTTGGAATCACTGAACAGGAATGGATGAACTAGCAGTGAAATGAGTACAAGTACCTAACCCTAGAATTGTGAACCCCCTATAGGCTAACCCACTGTAGCCTAAACTAACACAACATATATAATGTTTGACACTGGGAACACCTGCGTACCTACCACATGGCAACAGATTTGGTGACACTTAGTCGCCTGCTCAACCAGCTGAACAACGTCAAGATGTTTCCCGACGAAAAGGCCGGACCATACATCAGCCGCTGCAGAAACCTGAGAGACCAATTCGGGAAAAGCGGCGGTAACTTACCTGACAATATGTTCTTAACCATCATCCTTGCTGGATTGAGCCCGGAATGGCGCCAATGCAAGTCCCTCCTTCGCACACAAGGCACTCTCAGTGAGACTGCCCTCTGCTCCACGCTTCTCTCCGAGCAGAAGGAAATTGACCTGTACAACAAAAGAGGCAACAAGAAGGAGAAGATTGCCTTTTACGCTCAAGCGCCACCGGACAAGAAAAGACTCTTTTGCAAGTACTGCAAAAAGACTGGGCACATGATTCAAGACTGCTGGCAGCTGAACGGTAACAACAACCAGAAGGGTGCCGCTGCTCACCAGCAAGGAGGATCCGCAGCGCGCAACCAAACTGTGTCGCCGCCAGCCGTTGCCAGCACGTCTCAAGCCCCGGCGCGTCTCTCTGCGAACACAAGCGAGAAGGGCAAAAGAAAGGTCTTAACTTGCATGGTGCGTCATGGACCGCCTCGCCCCAACCGTCACTACCGCTTCTTTTCCCATCGGGGTACGGACGGAGTACGGACCTCACCTACTTCCCATTACGACGGACGGCAGGAACGACCTTCGCCTCGAGACAAGGGGAGTGGCAATCGGCGATGTCAACTTCGAGGAAGAAGAAATCACGCAACCCAAAGATCGACGTGTAAGAACCTCGCCCCCGCGCCCAGAGGAGCCATTGAAGCTACCGGTGACGATTGACACTGTCACCTTCGGCGACACCAGCGGAACGTATCATGGCGTGACAATTCAAGCAGCGGCAGTTCAAGTCACCGTGCCCGATGAATCTGCGGACGAAACAAGACAAGAAACAATGGAGGAGATATTAGCACGAGAGAAGGAGCTGTACGCGCACATGAAGGGATATCGGGCCGACGGAGACATCTGGCATCAACGCATGGGACACCCATCAATTGAAGTGCTCAACAACTGCATCAACGCAAATGTTTTTGCGGCAGACGCACTATAGCTGCCCGATGGAAAGTCGCTGAAACCACGAACCGATCTACCAACCTGCACCATCTGCTCGGCAGTCGCGCTCCGCCACATGCCCTTCGCCGAAAAGATTCCCGGAGCCGAACGATACAAACCACTGGAGAAGGATTTACAGTGATTTCTTGGTAACTCACGGCAAAAGGAGTTAAAGGGGAGCAGTACACTCTTACCTTCATCGACGCTGGTAAACGCTTCGTCTGAGCCGTGAACGTTAAGGACCGCTACCTCGCCTACTACTGCTTTGAAGTCTGGCTCGCCATGGCCAAAAATCAAAGTGACGGCTACAAGCTAAAGGCGTTCCAGACAGACGGAGCTCTGGAATACATGTCGGACGACTTCAAAACCCTCTGCAAGCAGAAAGGGATCAAGAGGATGATCTCTCTGCCTTATGCCCAGGAGCCTCGCGAAAAAAATGCGAGCCCTCATGAAGCAGTCGGCTGTGCCAACCAAGTATTGGCCCTTCGCAATGGCTGCATGCAGTTCGGCTGCACAACATGCTCTCCTCGAAGGCACTGCCCAACAACAGCTCACCCTTCAAGGAGTGGACCGGAAAACACCCCGACACACGCATGCTGCGGGTCTTCGGGTGCATGGTACAGTACCGCCCCCACACTACCCGAACAGGAAAATTTGAGGATCACGCTTGCTGGGGCATTCACCTCGGAATCGAATCCGAATACCACGCCTGGACAATTCTGGACTTATGAAGCGAATTTATACTCGGCATTCCCGTAGGTGCAGCAGTATCGCACCTGACTTTGTCGAATAAGCAACAACCGCAGTATCGGATCAGCCCGTATCAAGGGCAGGAAGGTCAACAGTCGCAAGAGTCAACTGTCGCGACTGTTGACCATCTGGACCGACGCTTGACTTACCATCGAGGAATGGCAACAGGCGTAACCGCACAGGTTACATGCAGCGACTCAGTAAGAAGAAAGTAGTACAATAAGTCAGAGTCACTGTAGAAATACCTGTATAACAGTTATAATAAGGGAATGTACCCCTCAGAGTACATGGCTAGATTAGGACTATTTATATTCCTTGTATTCTATTGTTTAATCAACTTGGTCATTTACATTCAGTATGATGTGAGTTCTTATAAGACTTCCGCTACCAACTCTACTAAAAGTACCTCCTATCCTATCCAAAGGCCCTTCCTCTAACAGTTACTTTTTTTTTTTGTGAATGATATTACACTATAATAAGCGCATACATTCTCAGTCGTAACAAAACATTGTTACTATATAGCCTATTTTGCATTGTTACTGCTTTTCAGAAAGTCTGCCGCCATCGCATAACGAGTTACGAGCATATCTAACATTTGTTGTTTCTGATTCCCGTTTACGTGTGCACCGTTCTTAGCCCTAAACGAAAAGAACACCGTAACTCACTGCTAGTCCCCTCCACGAGTCGCGTAGCGCCGGTTTCAGAAGCGACCTCCCGCCTGTATTTTTTCTCGTTTGGTCGTTTAAAGCGCCACGTCACACGCGTGTCGATTGTCTCGCTTCATGTCCCGATGCCAAAAATCAAGACGAACCGCGTGAAGTACCCTGAAGGATGGGAGCTTATAGAGCCGACGCTGAGAGAGCTTGAGCAAAAGATGAGAGAAGGTACGTGAGTGTCGTATCAAGTCGTGACGATTTGAGCTGTTAAAAGTATGACTTGCCCGTTACTAGTGATAGTTTGCATAAACGAGGTGAGTAACCTTCATTCATCCGTCGATCCGACTCCTCTGACTGAACGTTCGCGTATTCGTTGCGTGTGAACCGCGATTCAGTTGACGTGAACGTGTCGGCTTGGCTGTGATGGAGAACGCCAAGACAGGTGCGAGTCACTGCGAGTGATTGCGAGTGACTCACACTTCTTTTTCCTCGTACTTTCAAGGTCCATCAATTCCCCCATAACTCCCGTTACGTTCGCCTCAATTCTCGCTTCTTCTCTCTGTTCAATCCCTCGCCTACGAATCACTCTCTCTTCCCCCTCAATCCTTCCCTCTCCCTTACTCCTTACCCCCACCTCCCCCTCCCCCTCCCTTCCCTCTCCCCTCCCCCCCTCCTACCTCTTCCAAATTCTAGGAGATAACGCCACGCGGGAGGCAGAGCGCAAGATGTAGGCACGGTCATGTTCCCGATGGTTCCAGTGAATCCATGTCATAACCTTCAACCTCCCTCGCGTTTCATGCCCTCCCTTTCAATAAAGTGAAGTCCGCTGTCTGTCTATACCCTCCTGCAAGCGCGGAAAAGTGAAGGGGCAAGGCGCTGTGGCATACAATCTTCTAATCTAATGCCTTCCAGTTTCCTTCTTGAGGCTACCACCCATTTTTCCTTGATTCCCACCACCTTCACCTCCTTGCAACTCCGTTCAGCCCACCCTTTTCCCCAACACAGCAGAGAGCGTCACACATGAGAGCAAGCGAAATTTGCAGCTGCTACAGCTATTTCTCCCTTCAACCCCTTTCAGTTTCCTCCTCAAGTTTCCCCACATTCTCTACACCCTTCTCCCTCGATCCATCCTCAATCAACCCGTGGCAACAGCGGAGAGCGACACACACGAGGGCAAGCGCAAGTGCGAGGCGCTGTGGCCCATCTTCAAGATCGCGCACCAGAAGAGCCGCTTCATCTACGACCTGTACTACCGGCGCAAGGCCATCAGCAAAGAGCTCTACGACTTCTGCCTTGAGCAGAAGCACGCTGACGCGAGCCTCATCGCCAAGTGGAAGAAGGTGAGGCTCTGACGTGCCGTGTGGCCCTGTGGAAACATGAACGTGAGTCTGTGTGAGAAACATGAACGTGAGTCTGTGTGAGTGTGAGAAACATGAACGTGAGTCTGTGCGAGAAACATGAACGTGAGTCTGTGTGAGTGTGAGAAACATGAACGTGAGTCTGTCCGAGAAACATGAACATGAGTCTGTGTGAGAAACATGAACGTGAGTCTGTGTGAGAAACATGAACGTGAGTCTGTGTGAGAAACATGAACGTGAGTCTGTGTGAGAAACGTGAACGTGAAGGGCGGTGACTTGGACCTGGTCGGCTAGGTGGTAACTTGATCTCCCACCCACCTAGTCAGGAGGGTAGGTGGTAACCCTAACTCCAAACCAAATCACCTACCTGGTCGGGCGGGTAGGTGGTGGGAAGGAAGTGGAAGAAGCAGCCGGCCACGTGGGTGATGTAGAGCTCGATGAAGGTGAGTCTGCGTGGGCTGGCAGAGTGTGAGTCTCTGCCCGTGCTCCCAGGGATAGTTATGGTTTTGTACCGCCTGTGCATGTTGTTTGCCTGTGCAAGTGGACGGTGGTGAGGGGCTTGTCTTGCCTTCTGCTGCTGCTTCGATGCGCTCATTGACCTCAGAGTGGGGCCGCAACAGTCCGCTAAACAAGGTGCAAAAAAACGACCGAAATATTGAAATTCTGGCGTATATTACGCTATCGTATTTTTCAGCCTGTTTGAAACGTTTTAAAACGCCAAAGGTGGTAATTTTAATGTGGTGCAAAAAAACGGCCGTTTTTTACAGCAATAATCTTGAAACCAGCTGGTTTACACATATGTTCAAGTATTGGTTCCAACCATGGAACCAGCCATGAGGAAGACAAAGGGGATTTATCAGTGGGATTGTAGTAGAACGGTGACTCCGAGGAGGAGAGGATGAAGAGTCTGGGGGAGAGGAGGAGGAGGGTTGAACGAGCGCAACCTAGACACTTCGTTAGCATTGTATTGCTTCTTCGCTATCCTGGTCAGAAGCGGAGTCATGTCTACTGTCTTCAAAATAAAAGAAAAAAAAAGGTCACAAAATCTCTAACAAAAAAACGGCCGAATTTTTGAAATCTGACCGTAAAATACGAGCGTAAAAAACGAACCGTATTTTACCTTTGCCGAAATTTTGCACCTTGCCGCTAAATCACAGCCCTGGTTTCCGGTACAATGTCGAGGCAGTCTGCTTGCGCATTAAGCACATGCATGCCCATCAAGCACATGCATGCCCATCAAGCACATGCATGCCCATCAAGCACATGCATGCCCATCTCAGCTCTGTTCCCAAGGGCTTGCAGCACGTGCAGCCAGCACGTGCAGCCAGCGTGTTTCTCCAGCATTTTCTTGGCACTCTCTTGACGCCACTTGCCTGTCCCTACTGTGCATTCCTTTCACCCCCTTCCTGCAATCCACATCCAGACTGCGTTCATGCGTGTACGTGCGTGCGGGGAGACAGGACTCTTCATGCAGTCGTGCACCCATTCCCCCATCTTTACCATCCCCACCCCATGTCTGCCCCCTGTGCATGCCCGCAGGCAGGGTTTGAGAGGCTGTGCTGTGTGCGGTGCATGCAGCCCAAGGACCACAACTTCGGCACCACATGTGTGTGCCGCGTGCCCAAGCACCTCCGCGAGGAGAAGGTCATCGAGTGCATCCACTGCGGCTGCCGCGGCTGTGCCAGCGGGGATAGCTGACGTCTGTGGTGTGGCGTGGGGGTGAGTGGGTGGGTACATGGTACAGTAGAGGGGAGCCGGGAGCCTAGGGGAGCAGAGCAAGGTGGCGGAGTCCATACATTCCGGTCATGTGCCATTGCTGAGGTTTGCTAGGTATTGGGGATTATAATGTGGCATTGGGGAAACATCAAGTGTATATGAATCTAGCCATGGGGTTATGAAATTGTAAATCGTCTCTGTTACTGTGAACAACACTGTCATGTCACCAAGTACCACCGCATGGCCCCAGACTTCCAATGTTTTCCACGCGACTCAGAAACTTCCAATGCGAAGTGAGTCAATTTTGAGCACCATTTCGTACGGTACTCATTATTTTTCGCTATATATTCTTCGCCAGGGCCTCAGAAGTCAGGATTTTTACCCTGAATTCCTGAAGTTTGATCCTTGTTTTTTATCGTGACCCTGATGTATCAGCCTTTTTTTGTTAACGAGGCCTGATGTTTCAGTGTTTTTTGGGTTGCGAGGCAACCCTTTACAATCGATTTTGCCAAATATTATTTTCATATTTATATTTAATAAAACATGAAAATTTAATTAGTAAACTACAGCAATACCCTTCCCATACTATGCATGTTGAGCAGTTTTAAATATTGTTCACTGTCTTTTGGGGAATGATTTTCCTTCATTGTAATAGTTTGTTGTACTGTGTGCACTACCGTATATTTTTACCGTGCTGTTCGGTGCAATGATGATTACTTGAGTCATGAATTTCACACGCATGCTCATATGAATGTAATGAAACAAGTGGAATAGATGCTTATGCATGGAGAATGCTTTAGTATGCATAACGTATAATGTGGAATATTAAAATGCACGCGTGTATGATGGTAAATGGATAAAAATGCGTGATAGTTAACAACCCAAAAACTAAGCTACCTTTTTTTTTTTTAGCATGGGGGGGAGGTCACTAGTGTTGGGCTGAAACGCCCTAGGATCTTTGTAGAGTTAAAGTCTGAGTAGATGTTGTAATAGCGGAAGCGTTGAATAAAGCTCTTGAACCACCTTGCGCTAGTATGTGAGGGCAAAGTAAGTTGATAAAAGCAAAGAGATACAAGAATATAAATAGATGAGTACACAGAAAATGAAGAGACATTATAACTAATTTTACTGTTGCGGTTCGATACAGTGCGACTCGGGCAACTGCTCAATGTCGAGTCAGTTGTTTGTCATTGCTGTCGCGCTGCGTCAGGTCAAAGGTCGCTGCCCTTTGACTTTCCCGTAACCTCCGACGGTTACGTTAACCTCGTTGGTTGACTCGCGCTGCTTCGACTTGAGCTGCTTCGTTTTGTGTCTTGAGTACTGACACGACAGAGGCACTTAACTTATTTGTTCCCAACACTCCCCTTCGCTTCTGGAGTGTCGCTGATGGTGACGTGGCTTTGTCCAGTCAGCAGCATGCAGTACTCGAACTTCTGTTTTCCAAGTTTCTTGGTCAAGTAGTCGGCTGCCATCTCGGACGTGGGAAAGTAGGATAGATCGAGTTTCCCTTTCTCGATTTCGTCTTTCACGAAGAAGTATCGCAGGGCGATATGCTTCGTTCTGTTCGCGAATCCGCTCTTGTTGGCGATGCGAATTGCGGATTGGTTGTCGCAGAACAAGGTGAAGTTGGGTAACTCAGCTAACTTTGCTTCTTCTAGTAGCTCGCGAAGGTAGAGTCCTTCCTTGGTGGCTGAGCAAAGGGCGATATATTTTGCTTCAGCTGAGGAGAGCGCAATTAGTTCCTGCTTGCTCGATTGCCAGGAAATAGGTCCGATAGGTTCTAGGCGATAGATGTAGCCAGTGCGAGAGCGCCTGTTATCTAAGTCGCCGGCGTGATCGGCATCGACATAGCCGATTAGTTTCGTCGGCGTAGTTGTGTCTTTGTAGTACGTCAGGCCGATCGTTGCGGTGCTCACGAAGTAGTGAAGAGCACGGTCGAGTTCTGCTAGGTGTTCTGCTTCGGGCCTCTTGAGATAGGTAGCGAGTTGGCTAGCGGAGTAAGACAGGTCTGGGCGGCAGGTGACGGCTGCGAAGAGCAGACAGCCCAGTTTTCGCTGGTAGTCGCGTATTCCGGCGGTCTTAAGTAGGACGGAGCTTCCTTTGCCGTTTCCTGCCGTGTAGCGGTATGGCGTGTGGATAGTAGCAGGTGTGAGTGCGAACCGTTTGGCGATGGTGTCGGCGTACTTCTCGGCGCTGAGATAGATCGCATTTTCTTCTTCGCGAATGTTGAGCCCGAGATACTGAGTGACGGTAGTGGAGACTGTGAGTGTGAGGTCCTTTTTCAGCTCCCCTTCGAACCAGGTAGCGATGTCGTCGGTAGAGCCGATGTAGAGTAGATCGTCGACGTAGACAATGAGCAGGATGTAGTTGGCGCCTTTGGTGAGTCGATACATGCCTTGATCGTGAGGTAGTTGACGGAATCCGATGCGGATGAGGCGGGTGTGTAGGTGCTGTTGCCACAGTCGTGGGGCCTGTTTGATACCGTAAAGCGATTTTAGTAGTTGACAGACCTGATTGGGTTCCCCGTGAGTACCGTGAGGGAGCTCGACGAAGATTTCGGCGTCGACGGGTGCGTAGAGGAAAGCGTTAGCGACATCGATTTGTCGCAGTTTCTTCTTCTTCATGGCGGCGATCGCAAGGAGGATTCGGAGAGAGGTGTGTCGGCTAACCGGGGCGAATGTCTCGGTGAAGTCCCGGCCTTGTTCCTCATCAAATCCTCGCACGACCCATCGTGCCTTGAACTTCTCGATTGTGCCATGTGCTTTCGTTTTGATGCGGAAGACCCACTTCCTGGTAAGAATGGTCTTGTTTCTTGCTATGCTTGCTGGAACGACTTTCCAGGTGTTGCGTTCCTCCAATGCTTTTAACTCTCTGTCCATGGCTTCACGCCATTTCTCCTTGTGTTCCCCCCCCAGAGCCTATTGAACTGTCGCAGGCTCTTTAGGAAGAGAGGAGCCATGGACTGCGGTGACGAGGCCAAGAATCTGCAGTCCGGTCTGTGAGTAGCGGGGGAGTGTTGTGTCCTCGGGATAAGCTGCTTCATCTCCCGCTTCTGGGTCGGGTATGAAATTCGGTCCTACTCTTTCTGCTTCGTTGGTGTTGGCTGTTGCAGGTGTTACGTAACCATTGTCGGCGAAGTGATAGAAGACTTCGGCGTTGGCACTTTCGCGAGGATTTTCTTCGTCCATGGGGACGTTGACGGAGCAGAACGGGAGAGGTCCGGCTTCTTCAGATGCGTTGTCGACGTTCTGCTCGTCCCAGTTTGCTTCGTCTGCTGCTGAGGCGAATGCTCAGTCACCACGAAAGCCACCTGTGGGGTCCTGATTCTCGTGCAAGTTGGCGAGGTACGTCTGAAGGGTGAGGCGTTCGTAGAAGATCACATCACGTGCTGCTACTGTTTCTTTTGAGTGGACGTCAAAGATTTTCCACGCGTTGTAATTCTTTTCGATGCCGAGGTGTAGTCCCCACTGTGCGCGTTGTGAAAATCTTCCCGCTCGTGCCTCAGGGGGTCGGTACTGTACCATGCACCCAAAAACTCGTAACATTTTTGTGCTGCCCTGCTTCCCTGTCCTACAGCAGATGCGGTGATGCGTTGTTCGGGAGTGAGGACGACGACATCAAGTTGTGCAGCATGACAGCGTGGTCCATTGCTGTAGGCCACTGGTGGTTGGATAGCCGCATGCCACGTAACAGTTTGCGCATGCTGTTCTGCAGAGTCCTGTTCATTCGTTCTGCGAGACCTTGCTGCTGATGGGCGTAGGGAAGGGAGAGGAGTTGCTTGATTCCTCTTTCCGCCAGGTACTGCTTGAAGCGCTGAGAGGTGTATTCTCCTCCTCCGTCTGACTGGAAGCTTTTCAGCTGTGCTCCCGACTCTCGTTCTGCTACTGGTAGCCAGGCGGCGAACGCTGCGAGTGCCATGTCGCGGCTTGGTAGGTTTAGATGCCAGACATATCGAGTGGCGGCGTCGATGAAGGTAATCGTATAGTTGTAGGTGACTTGTCCTTGTTCGCGATTGTAGAGGATGTCGCTGTACACCTTCTCGAGTGGTGTGTACGCCGGTGCGCTCGGGTTGTGATGAGGAGCGAACGGTCGATGTGGTAAGTCAGCTTCGGGGCAGGTAAGACAAGTCCCTCGTGCCTTTTGAAGTTCTCTGCCGTCGGGTAGTAGTAGGGAGTCTTTGTCGAGAACTCCTGCTCTTATCGTGTTGTTTAAGACTGTATTGCTTGGATGTCCCAATCGTGCGTGCCAGGTTTCTTCGGAGACGCGATGTCCGGGTGTTCGTCGATACGTGTCGGAGTTGGAGTAGAAGCTGGCGACGAAGTTTGCGCTTCTGTGGGCTTCTCGTGGAGTTGGTTTCAACTGCTGTGCGGGTGTTGGTGGTTCTTCGTCGACGAGGGCTGGTGTCGTTGTTCCTGCTGCTGGTGTCGTTGTTCCTGCTGCTGCTGCCGATGTTGTCTCTGCTGCTGCCGATGATGTCTCTGCTGCTGTTGTTGTTGTTTCTGCTGCTGCCGATGATGTGTTTGTTGATGCCGACGATGTCTCTGCTGCTGTCGATGTTGTTTCTGCTGCTGCCGATGATGTCTCTGCTGCTGCCGACGATGTCTCTGCTGCTGTCGATGTTGTCTCTGCTGCTGTCGAGTGTTGTATTGTTGCTAATGCGCGTGTTCGTTCTGCTTCAGGGATAGTATGGGAGTACCAGAAGCCTTCCGGGCTGAAGTCTGGATCAAGATCTGGAGGGTGCGTCCAGTCCGTGAAGTTAACAATAGCGTCGCTGTCTGCGGTGCCCAGGTCCGGGACGAAATCCAGGACGAAGACGTTGTTCTTCAGAACTGCCTTCCCAATGTAAAGGCCGCCTTTCCCGTGATATAATTTAAATTCCTGGGTGGTGCTGTCGGCTTCCAGGTGGATGCCCTTCGCCATAAACTGGCTGACGCTCAGTAAGTTGTAGCCGAGTCCTTCTGCTATTAGTACCTTTGACATGT